ATTCCTAGTTGGAAGTAGGCAGTAAATTGTTTCTATTTGCGGCTAAACTCCAACAACCCTATAAAAACCTTGTGAACTCGACAAAATTACGACCTACCCACCTCCAAATATTTTATAATGGACAAAGGGCAAACCATACCGGGACTATTTTTATAATGGACAAAGGATTCTGGCTTTAGGTACATGCACTGGTCAATTATTTTGAAGACTTGACTTTTAATCCCTTTGTAAAATTCTATGCATTTGTTTCTCTTGAAAATGCTCGACTTTTAAGACCAATGCATTCCTATCCAAACACCGGAAGTCTAGTTTCCTTTCTTTTCTTATATTCTTTAGAATCTCCAGAGAGTCCAAAAATTGCAATATTCATTTTTACTTATATTTTAAGATAAATTATATTAACTTACCAGGTTTGGATAAATTATATATTTGGTCTTTATTACTTTGATCTACTCTAAGATTTGAAGTGTGTACTCAAAACATTCTTAAAAATTAAAAAATGACTTAGTTGTTATTTTCTTGTATTAAAAGACTACAATAACCTTATATTTTGATATAAAATAACAAAACTATCATGAAATGCCATTAAAATATTTTTAGGGTTTTGATTTAAGTTTCTTTTTTCCACAAAAAAAAAAGGATAATATAATGTTTACAAGATAAGAAAATAAAATAATAAAAAAAGACAATAGAGTCTTTTGGTTTAGCAGATTTTGCTTATTGAACTATTATTAAATTAGATAATGGTACGAAAGACTTTCACACTATTGTCAAAATAATATAAGCCAAACACAAGATGTGTATAATTTGTCCAAACTTTAAAGAATGTTAGTGTAATTTATCCTATATTTTAAACATACTACTAAACTAACTTGATACAATGAATTAGTAAATATATATACACACAAACTAGTTTTTAAGACAGGTTACGTTAGTGTATATACACACTAGTTTTTAAGTCATGCATCACCTCTGGTATGCTAATTATTATATTTTTAATATTAATTACATGCTATATATTTTGGGGATAAAATTAAATTTGTCCCCAACATTATTCCATATGTAGTAGCTCACAGCAAAACACTGAAGGGAAAATTAGTTTTTGATAATCAAAATTGAAAAAAATTTACTTTGAAGTCCCTTAATTTGAGAAAAGGTCAGAAAATTAGTTTTTGATAATCAAAATTGATTTTTTTTTTTTTTTACTTTAAAGTACCTTAACTCGTGCAAGTTAGATTGCCTTGCCCGCGAAGAGACGATTATCAAAATGATAACAACTCCTTCAAAGACTATTGGTATGCATGGTCTAACTTAATTCTATCCAAAAAAAAGTTTTGATGCAATGTGTTAGATAAACACCGTTTGAAAACATTAACTTATTTCTCCTTAGATATACTTTAAGTGAGACTCATGTTTATCAATTAAAATATATTAAGTAATCATTTGTAATTTTTTAACAGCTCTAGTGATAAAAGTGAATGAGGATTCGAAACCCTCATGACCAAGTGCGTCAACGTTGAACCTGAACACCTAACTCGATATCGAGCCCAAAATGCGAAAGTAAAAATAAAAGGAGAGGTCACTAGAGACAACCACTGCCACTAGGACAACAAGAGAACTTTAATGAAGAAGATACAAGGCATAACTCGAATACAAATGCCGATGTGAAAAGGTCGAAATGGATTTAATATGTTAATTAAGGGTAAAAAGGTCATTAAAAAATACTACAAGGGCAAAATGGTCATCAACTATGACTACATGGACAAAATTGTCATTAGACATGACCACAGAGGCAAAAGAGAAAATATTAAACCATCTTACCAATCAGATCCATATGATCGATGAGATTGATGGTCCAGAAGAGGAACTCAACCTACAAATCTATGTAACTGATTAGATGACCATCTGTTCGATTAGATAGATTATTTAATCGATCAAATGCGACTCATGTTTTTCATCTAAAACTTATTAAGTGATAAAAGTCATTCGGTTATAAGTTAGAATAACATTGTTAAATTAGCACAGGAAATTAAGCTTTGGTAGAGTTTACCTAAATCAAATTATATGTAATTAAATAGATCTTATTTCTTTTGAAATTTCAAGTTGTCAGTCTAAATTTCAAGAACCTTACAAAGTAACAAAACCTTGTACCAACTTTGAACACCTCAAAACTGAAGCTCTATTTTATAATCAAAACATCTGGTTATGCTTTTAGGGTACATGCATTGGTCACCCCCACTTGGAAATCCTTCAACTTTATCCTTTCTTCATGTATTCCCACCGAAAACACCGCAACTAAAAGTTTTGCCTTTTCACCGTCAAACTTCCTAATTTTTAATTTGTTATATTAATCGATGCGTTAGAAAAAATAGACATGCTAATTAAAAAAAATTGGGTCACATTGCATGTATCCAATGAAATGTAATTAATTTAGTTTTTTGATACTATATACATCAATTGGTACTATAAAATGAGACATATTCCTAACATTATAGCAGCTCACAATAATAATAAAAAAGACATTTGAAAATATCATTAAAGAATATTAATTTCTAGCACCATCGATCAACATATGTTACCACTGGGCAAACTCTTAACAATGCTGAAGTTTTTTCTTTTTAAATTTAAGTAAATACACATCATACACTCAACCTTGTAGCCGTGTTCATATAATGTCCATTGATGATGTCTAAGTATCACACTGGTCAGACCCTATTTTTTTTTCAGGAGCGAATTTTAGAATTTTCTAAATTTGTGTGGAGATTGTGAAGGTATTGTAGTAAATAATGGAAGATTTTAAAACATTAGAGAGTTGTTGAATTTATTCATCCGTTGAAGAAGATTCTAAAACAGTTGTGATTATGAAGTTTGTAAACATGTATATGTTTAGATGAAGAGTTTTAGAGGGTATATTTTACCTATTGATTGCAATAAAACTTAATTAAGTGTCTATATAAATAGGGGAGTGTGTTATTTATAACTTGGTCTACAAAGGTCACGGTGTGTATTAATTGGATAAAGAGTGTGTAAGGCCGGTAACGGTACTCTGCTTATAAACTTTGAACATTGTTATAAATCGGCGTTTAACCGACTTCGGCCACCATAACCTTTTTTTTAAAATATAAAAAAATTATAGGTGGGGTCATTTGACGTCATCTTTACAGTGACTTCAATGCACTTGTTACGTCTATTGTCGTTTCTTTCTCATCCATTATAACACTGTAATTATCATTTTAACCAACAATGTAACACTGTAATTACCATTTTAACTAATACTGTAATGACCATTTTAACCATACGTTGTTTTATAAAAATTAATAAAAATAATATATATTCTTTAATTAATAAATTGAGAAAAAATTGTTAGCGCTCAATATAGTGTTAGAGCTGCTCATTTGGACTACATTGTTGCCTCTCATTATGGTGTAATTACTTTGAGTCAGCTAAGACTTTCTGGTTTGATGTGGTTTCAATTGCGCACAAGGTAAATGTTCCTTCGGCTTGTAAAATTGTTGGACCTATTTTGTACATATCCATTTAACAAAAAAAAAAAAAAAAAAAAATTGAGAAGAAATTGTGAATAAAAGTTGTTGACAAAGTTCTTAAATTATGGCTCCGTTTGTTTCAACGTAAAATATTTTTTTTGAAAAATATTTTTCATTTTCAGGTAAAATATTTTTTTATTTTTACTTTGTCGATGTTTGACAAAGGTCTACGTAGAAATTAAGGCCAAGTCCATTAGGCGGGACACTTAAAATAACTTGTCGAAATTTTATGGATAAATTATTTTTGTTAAATTTTAATATTTTTTTTTCTTTCGTAAATATTTTACGACAACCAAACACCAGAAAATAAAAAAATATTTTACGTCCAAACAAACGGAGCCTATAGTTAATTTTTTTACTCATTGAACAAATATCAATATTCATATGCACCACATAATTTTATAAATTATCCATATATACACAACTATAGTTAAATATTAAAAACCTAACATATCGTTAATTAAAACCTATAAGAATTAGTTTTCTTAGAAAATGTATTTTTTTTTACCAAACCAAATAAGTAACTCTTTTTACAGTTCATTTTTCTCTTCTCACTATGACTTATTTATTTTTTCTAAATTCTGATCATTATTTATATATTCCACACATTTTCTCTTGCAAGATTTTTTCCTCTGATGCTAATCACCATCATGTTTAGAGATGACTATAATTTAAATAGACAATTCAGTGTTACACTTACTGAAAAGAAATTGTAGAATTATTTTTTATGCAAATTGGAAATAATTTTACAAAGGTTAGCTCATAATGCTAATTATATATGACTTTTAACGTATCTCTATATTTGTGTGCATTGTAGACATATAAGAATTCGTGATACATAAGGCTGTAAAAATATAACAATAGTAGAGTTTTGCTTCCAGAATGGGGTGTAAATATTATTTACTTGCGGACTCTCATATCAGTTTAAGAAAAAAAAAAAATTTCAAAACCCAATTTTCAATAAATAATTATTTAGTGAAGATAAAAAAAAACTGAAATTATCTAATTATTTACTAATTATTAGATTAGAGACAAACCTAATTATTAGAACTTGAACCCACAATTTCAATTTTCACCATTTTCACAGTATGAAACCGCCAATAAAGCAGGGGTAATTTAGTAATTTTGCTCACTAACATTCTGCCTATAAATACTTGCACTTGTGATGTTGACTGCTCATAGTTCATGAGTTCTATATTCTACCCCATTTTCCTTTTCCTAGTTTTGTGCTTAACAACTTCCTTTCCCTTCCTTCTCAGTGTCATGGAAGACCAACATCAACACCCTAACAGTAGTTCTTCAAGCTTTCCTTTCTTTGTGATGGATGATCAACCTCAACACCCTAACAATCCAAGCTTTCCCTTCTTCAGCGTCATGGAAGATCAACCTCAACCTCAACCTGAACCGCAACATCAACATCCTAACAGTAGTTCAAGCTTTCCCTTCTTCAGTGAAATGGAAGATCAACCCCAACATCCAAACAGTTCAAGCCATGTCCCTGCTGAGAGAACAAATGAAACCGTCAGAACAAGGTGGGCCCCAAAACCAGAGCAAGTCCTCATACTTGAGTCCATCTTCAACAGTGGCATGGTAAATCCTCCCAGAGAGGAAACTGTGAGGATAAGAAAACTCCTAGAGAAATTTGGTGCCGTTGCAGATGCCAATGTTTTCTACTGGTTCCAAAACAGGCGGTCCAGGTCTCGCCGCCGACAACGCCAAATTCAGGCCAGCCTCGCCGAAGCAGCTCAGCCAACGACTATTGCTACTGGTACTGGTGCAATCCAGTACGAGAGTAGTAGCTCTGGTGTGGGTTTCGTGCCCTCCTTTTCTCCATCTCCTTCTCCCACTCTATCTCTATCTCCTTCTGATCCATGTCTTCTTGGTTCTTCTTCATCAAGCGGTGGCCTTGTCGGCAACCACCACGGTGGTGGTGTCGGTGATGTCTTCTCGTTTTCTGGCCACATGGGTTTCCCTGAAATTCATGAGCAAACCTCAAGCCTGACTTCAAATTTTGGAGCTTCTAATAATTCAAATTTGCACTACCAACCCTCCGGTAATTGCATGGCTGAGTTGTTCTCATATTCTAACATTTTCTCTCACGCATAAATTGAGTTGATATTAACTGTCTCGAATTTTGCAGGACTTGTGACTGTGTTTATCAATGGGGTTCAGGTAGAGGTTCCAAGGGGACCCTTAGACATGAGGGTGTTTGGTCAAAATTTAGTGTTGTTACGTTCCTCAGGAGTGCCGGTAGCATCTAACGATTTTGGCTATTCAATAGAGCACTTGGAGCATGGTGAAAACTATTTCCTGGTAAGCAATCAAGGGGCTACCAGTACTACTGCCTTTGAAACCAGTAATAGTTATGGTGTGTACCAAAAGAATCTCTGTGTGTGTGTGTGTGTGTGTGTGTGTGTGTGTGTGTGTGTGCATATTTAGATCATAAATGGGAACCCAAAAATGGTTTAGACTCGTCTTTCAAAACATGCATCCTTTTTTAATTACTTCTTCTCCTCCCCTCTCTCTCTCTCTCCAATTTTTCTTTGACCTTGGATACAATTTTGGGTGTGTCTTGGGGGGATTAATAGAGTTAATAAGATACTTTATTTAGGGAAAAAGGTTAATAAGATACTTAATGAGCTCAATCATGAGTTAATTCTCTAATGCTTAGAGGGAATTTTTTGGAATTCCATGAAGCTTCTCTCTCTCTCTCTCTCTCTCTCTCTCTATGTATATACATATATATATTATTGGAATTTCTTAGCTTCTCTCTCTCTCTTGTTGTGAGGAACAATATTGGGTGGTTCGTGGAGTCCACCAAGACAGCATATTAAGATAGTAATTTTGCTTGCAGGTTTCAAGGCCCCTTTAAAGAGGTATTAAAGTTGCACCGACCAGAATGAGCTTCTTCCACGAGGTTTCAAGAATTTAGAGAAGAATTTTAGTGAAGATCTTGAGAAGAAGAAATGTTTATTTTCTTTCTAGTCAATGTTTTTTTTATATATTTTCTACCCTTAGATGGGTTATGTTCTTTTTTCTTGCATCTTTTTATCACAATTAGCCTATGTTGTACTAGAATCCCAACCTAGTTTGAAGAGCAAGACCATGTATTAGATGTTTTTTGAGAGATTAATACTTACAACTTATATTTATATTTGATCAATTTTTACTTCAATGCTACACCAATTAAATGCATGTGAAATTGGTAATTTAGTTACTCTTTTTCTCTCTCATCTCTCTTTCTCTTGGATAAAAAAAGAACATAGATGTGGTACTGATATGTTGCAAAGTTTAATTTCCAGTGATTGAAACTTTTGATGAAATAAATTGACTTGGACCAAAATGGCTCTATAAGTTATGATATGCACTTAATTTGTTAGTATTTTATAAGTTTGGCAAAGCTATGATTTGGTTCTCTAGTTCTTATTCTATGCATTTCCTTTTTGTACTATGATTCATCTATCATTTATACTTTGAAAACACATGCAAGTATGGGGTTTTGAGTTTTTATTTATTTATTTATTTATGGGTATATGGGTTTTGAGTAAGTTGTACTCAAGGAACCAACCTTTCCTTTAATGTTACATTTTGGTCGCAGATTTTTCTTTCCCCCTTAAATTATATATCACATACTTCTATAATGTGTGTGTTTGTTCCGGTAGAAGTCAAAGATTTTTCTTTTGTGTGTGTGTCTGTGTGTGTTTTATTTTTCTTTTCTTCTTCTTTCTTTTGGGTTTCAGTAGAACAAAAATATAGTTGAAGAAAGCAGTTCAAGATTTGAAATTCACACATGGATCATAGTGTTCATAATAGCATCATGCAGCACAAAATGCATAAACGCAATGATCAGGATCATGATCATAGTGCATGTTCACAATAGCATCATGAATCACAACGCAATCATTAATATCATGATCACAGTGCATGTTCACAATAGCCTAAAGCACCACAAAGTGCATGTATAATCACAATGATATATATATATATATATATATATATATATATATATGTATCATATGTAAGTTACACCATATTTTTGTCTCAATTAAGCGCGCTTTTGGGACAGAGTGATTGTCTTATTCATTTTCCTTCTCCTTGTTCCAAATCATTTTTTAGAAAACTACTTTTATTCCTTTCAACTCTGTAGATTAATCAGAATATTAATGTGCTTTACTTTTCTTTGATTTCTTGTTTCTTCCAAATAAATCAGTAGACAGGTTATTGAAATTGCTAATGAATTAGTACCATACCCTTTCCCTTAACACAAAGAAAATAGAGATATCAAAAGTTAAAAACTTGTCTACAAAATATCTGTGAACTCCAATTGTCAAAAGGATTACACTTGTCTTTTAACTTCTTCTTCTTTTTTTTTCTTTTTTTTTTTAATTTTAGGTAAAACATCATTGAAGAAGATAGATCATTTCTACCTGATGTACTCAAGCGTCCTGTAATTTAGTAGTACTTTCTCACATTCTAAGTAAAAGGTCGATGGTTCAAGTCTTTATAAAGGCAAAAATGAGTGTGCGCATGATTCTTACCAAAGAAAAAAAAATTCTATATATATAATAACCTAACATAGTTACTCAATTGAGGCTTGAGAGGAAAATAAGAGAGAAATTTTAAATGGTCCTGACCAAACATACACAACCACGCAACTAAATGTGTCAGTTTATTTAATTTTTTTTATTGCATGACATAATAAGATTGACCAGAACTATATAAATCTTTGACTACAGAATATGGAGTAATTTTTAGGGGGCAGTGTGGGTGTGAATTTTTTTGTAATTAAGATAAAAAGAAATTATCAAAGAGCCTCTAACACAATAATATAACCTTCTTATTCTCAAAGAGGATGAGAGGGATTCGAACATAAACAAAAGTTTGTGTCACTACTTCCCTAATCCAAAAAAATAAACAATAAAACAAAAAAATGGTTCAGTTACAAGTTACAATGGTTTGTCATATCATCTGATACGTGAACTTTTTTTAAGTTAGATATGCGATCCGTATTGATCAATTTATACTGACTTTATTCGAATCTGTTATAACGCGACCGCCGTCGATAGAGGAATCATAATGGATACTCCGAACCATGGAACTTACAACCTAATGGAAATGCATAATGTGGTTAAAAAAGAGTGGCTGGTCTTGTAAACAACACCACAACCCATAATTTGATTGAGATTGATGACCTCCTAGCCTTTCTTCTTTTTGATAATTAGAAGCAGTGAGATTATGAAGCCCATTGTTAATCATAATGAGTCCAGACCTAATAATAGACCATGATTACCACCAGTAAATAAAGTAGCCCAAACTAGCTACTCTAAGCCCAGGCCATTCTACTCTACCTAGTCTCAAAAAGGTCCTCTTAGAATAGGTGGTGTTTGGATTCTCAAAAAACTAAAGTTATAATTAACGCGGTTTGTATGTGTTGTACACTTTGTAGTTGCTTTTAGCTGGTAAAAAAAAATTACTATAAAGCAACTAGTTGTTACCCATCAAGCCTACTAATTCAAGCACTAAAAAATAGTTTTTACTAATAATCACCCTTGACTTTGTCCTCACAGTTGTTGGCAAATTGTTGTGATCAGGGAAGACGTAAGACTTTACGTGAGATGGGACAAGACTGAAATTTTATAATAATTTTAAGAAGGGCGTTAGTAAAATTTTAAGGATATATAGTGAAAAAAGAAAAAAATAGCATGATATATTAATAAAAAATTAATAGATTCGCCTCTGGTTGTGATATGTATGGCTTGTTTGGTTTAATTTATTTTAAACTTGCGTGTTTTTTAAGATTTTTTTTTAATAATAATTTTTTAATTTTTAAGTTTTTAAGAATTGTTTCTCAAAAAATTGAACTTAAACAAAGCTCAGGACTTCTTTTTGTTACTAGTAAATGTTGTCTAGAGTTATAGCCTCTTAACTTGTCCTTAGCGATAATAAATAAATATAAAGAATTAAGAGCTTTGATTGGATAACAAATCTGTTACTAAAAATACCTTAATCAAACAAATTTAGATAAGAATTTTAAGTTTTTGAAACTGCATGTATAGAGTTTCTTATTAAGTTTCCAAGCATGTACTTCATTGATACCAAAGTATTTTTTTTCTGTTTTTTCATTTTTTTTTTTCATTTTTATCGGGTCAGAAAAAATATTTACATATTCTTAGGGCTATCGACCTTAACTTTTAAAATATATATTTTTATTATTTGAACAACAATAGAGATAATATCATTAAACGGAATGAATAATACAATCCGATTGAACCTCCAAATTTTAAAAGGCTAAAAATTTCAGATAAAAAATATACCACTAAATTATCAAAATTTAATCTCATGAAAAAAGTACCCGACAAATGGTAGCTTCCAGCCCTATTGAGGTTGCTACAGATCGCTAGCTCATTTATAGATCAGTTACAATTCTAGAACACTTATTATTTATTATTATTATTATTATGAACATTCTTTGAATGTGATCTGATTTTACAAAATTTCAAACTCACATGGTCGATCCGGTAAAACATGTTTTTACCCAAGAAATCATGTTTGAAAAATACGCTTTAACGTAAAGCAAATTACAAAGATATTTTAAACAACTTTCTGAAGTGACACGTGCAGTAAAAAAATGTTACTTTGAATGAAACTCAGTTAAGAAAATGATAGTTATTGTTAAAATATGCTTTATGATACACACCATGAGAATTTCTGATGGGCCCATGTAGTCAATCATGCAGATCAAAATACGATATCTCTTATTAAAGTCCCCCAATATTTTATCATATTTAAAATGATTTTCTAACTTCATCTATATACACTTTAATTTTTAACAGTAAAACTGATTAAAATACTAAAATTGAAATTTGTTAACAAATGAAACTTAAGTAGGACAAAGTTGGGTGTTAGTTATGGATTCTTATTCCTAATTTTCAGAATATAAAGTTGGGTGTTAATACTTTAATAATTTAAATATTTGAGTTGAATTGTAAAATATTTAATCTATGACAAATGATATCAGAGCAGGTCTAATTCTTTATCCGATGTCATACCAAGCGCACACAATTAAGGTGTCCGAATCAGAAGAAAGTATTCCGTGTATTTAGTGCACCAGATACATCAGAATCATCTATGCAGTGCACACACAAAAACAGACGATTCTGAACCTGGTACACAATGCACCGGATATCCCAAATATATTAAACATGCCAAATATATTCTAACCAATCAAATATTGGATGCCACACCATTAGATCCGGATGGAAATGGTCTTGAGCATGACATAAGTCTTTTAAGTTTTAATCAACAAAATAGTGAAATACATTTGATATGTTAAGATCGACAAGCTGCCAACAAATTTGTACTGCATTCTATGCATGAAAAAATCTTTTATATATATATATATATATATATATATATATTTCTCTCTAGCCTTATCCTTCAAACTATTTTTTCTGAAAAATTGAATAAAGAAGAAAAAATAATATTTATTTAAATTAAGAGGTAGAGTGTCAAATATTTTTTTTTCATTTAATTTTTGAAGCATATAAATAAACAACTCATTTGCAAAAATAATAATAAAAAAAATAAATCAATGTACACGTACTAAATGGAGCACATTAAATAGGCAACAAACCATGTATAGAGACACAAGTATATAATAAATATTCTTCCAGTAAAGCATGGTCAAAAAAGTACGCCAATCACCAACAAACAGCATTAAAAAGTCATGAAAGATGGCCAGGTTCATTTGTCAGTCTTTGAGCCACTACTTTGGCTTTGCCTCATGCAATACACAAAACATCACAGAGAATAATACCAGAGACACGTAACTTGGATAATAAGTCCAAAACTAGTAGAGTAGTGACTTCAATTTTTCTTTTCTAACACCCCCAAAGGCCACAACTAATAAAATATTAAACTCTCTCTGTCTCTCTCCTATTCTCTTAACTTTTCTCACTGCTGTTTTTATTTTTCCATTTATGGATGTGTATATGAAAAGACTCTAGTGCAAAAAAAACCAACTTTTTCAGCATACCATTATAGACTGAGATGGAGAAAATGCATTAAAAGAGCTAACAATTCACAACAGCTTCTATATGTCCTTCACTTGTTACAATTTGGTAGCTAGTAGCAGTACTCTAACTACAACCCATCCCCAAAACCCCATCACTATTTTCTTTATGTGGGTCCTACTCCAAGGAAATCAATGAATTGAATGTCCTTGTGTTTCTCATTCTCATTTTCCCCATACATGAAGAGATTGAGACTAGTCTTGTTATTGGCAACTGACTCAGTTGCTGAAACTTCTGAGTTTGAATCCGAGTGCTGATGACCACATTGGTCCACGTTCATCACCATTGCCACTCCCCCAGGACCATACAACTGGACATCACCAACATTTCTCATTCTCACCACTTTTCCCTCTGCAGATGATCCTACAAAACCAAAAATTATATAATTAAAATATGAATAACTACTAATAAAATTCAAGAATAAATTTATATATATATTTTTGTAGCAGTAAGATTCTTTCATTGTGACATTCCATTGTGACCTCGAGATTAAAAGATAATGGAGTCAAGTCTGCTGGCATATGACCAACCTCAAACCTGTATAGGTCATAGGTTCAAAATAAAAAACAACTACTCTATTAAAAGACAAGGCCTGCATACATCTATCCTCGTTGTAACTCCAATGACGAGAGCCTTGTGCACTAATTTGAGAGCCTTGTGCACTAATTTGACGCAACAATAAAGATGTTACATTATGACCTCAAGGTCACATGTTCCAAACACATTTGCTTAGATCTAAGTCGGTTGAGATCTGACTCTCGAAGCTCATACATTTCCGACACAATTATTTATATGTCAAATGATAAATGAATTGGTCTCGAGACTAGGTAATAACTTTTCCTCTAAATGGAAGTAAGTCTACTTAGATCTGACTTTCCGTCGCTACTCCATTCAGAGGTAAGTCCCGGGTGCCTCGTGAACTAGCTAGTCCTTTTCTTTTTACTATATAAATATAAACTCAATATGACATGGATTTCAAGATTTTTAATAAGAGAGAGAGGGGGAGAGGGGTAAACAATGTTCATACCCAAGTGGAATCCATAAGATTGGTAGTGCTTCTGAAGTGGATTGAACCTAGTGAGGAACGCAGGAGGCAGTCTGGCAGAAGAGGGACTGAGGGAGAGATTAGTGCATGTTGAGGCAGATTCATCAACATTGTTGTTGCTAGAGATGGTTGAATCACTGCATGCATTGTGTTGGTATTTAGCACTCTTATTATACTTCAATCCTTTAGACACTATTTGCTGTGAAGAATTCCTCCTCCTCCTGTAGAAAATGTTATGCTCTCTGTGTTTTCTGGCAAAGATCACATGCCAATGATTCTTCACTGCATTGTCAGTCCTCCCTGGGAACAGCCTAGCAATCATAGACCATTTGTTGCCATACATTTTATGTGCAGCCAACAGCCTCTCCTCTTCTTCCTCAATGAAAGCCCTCTTGTTAATCCTTGGATCTAGCTGGTTAAACCATCTTAATCTGCAACTTTTACCTAAAACAAAATTTAAATTTATAAAAAAATATTCAAAAACATTGTGGATTTTACATAAAAGACTAGTCCAGTGCACGGACTGCCAAAAGGTGTTCATAGTCTTACTTTATTTGTATATCGAGAGAGAGAGAGAGAGAGAGAGAGAGTACCTGATCTTCCTTCAAGTTTCTCAGCAATCAAGTTCCAGTTTTGAGGACCAAACTGGGTAACAAGTTCTTTGAGCTTGGAATCTTCATGTGGTCTCCAATGGCCTCTGGCACAGAGCTTTGGGTGTCCACTTTTCCTCTGATCACTTTCTTCATCCTCGTTAGGGTTCAAAGCAAGGCCTTTTCTCTCAACACCAAAACTCCCATCATCTGTAGTCCACTCACTTCCCCTGACTTCTTGAGCATTCAAAATCTGGAATCCCATTTGAGACCCTCTCTCACCAAGATGGTTTACAGAGAGAAAAGGCTTGGGATCAACAGGAGGAGGACGCATACTAAAGTTCATGTTTGGAAACCCAATGACACCATCACCATCATGATTCTTGATGTGTTGAAGACTCATTGGATTGAAAAAAAAAAAAAAAAAAAAAACACAACCTAGATGAACCCAGGAGTTAAAAGGCGAGAAAGTGAAGGAAAATGAAGGAAACGTCCAAGAAACCAATGTGTTTTCCCTTGATCACTAGTACAATGCCACAAACAGAGGAAAACAGAGGAGACTGAAATAAGCAAAATAATGACCACAAAACAACTGGGTTTCTCTCAAAATCCTCTCACAGAGAGAAGCTGACTAGAAAATCAGTAAACAAAATGAATTAAAGATTTCATTTTTTTTCATACTCTCTCCCTCTGTAATCTTTTGATGGGTTTGATCAAAGAGAAGGAATGGAGAGAGGAAAGGGATGGAAGAGGAGATCTTTATTGGACAGTTACACTTCTTATTTGAAAGGAACCAAAGAAACAAATATAACGTTTATAAAACGGGGAACAGAAAAGAGAATGGTTTTTTACTGTGGAGGAAAAGAAAGCTAAAGAACAAAAAGAAGAGCTGAAGCCACACGATTCTCTCTCTCACTCACTCACTCACTCCTCTTTTTACTCAACTTGCTCTCTCCATAACGCTTGATCAGAGAGGTCCAGGGCACCTTATTTTGAGACTGGTATATGTCTGTCTCTCTCTCTCCCCCCTCTTTCTCTGTCTAGGATTTAGTGTATGGTGTTCATGCAAGTCGAGAGCCGCACGTGTGGGTGGTCTGCTTTGGGTTGGGGCTGTTGCTGTTTCTCTCTCGATGTTCGAGAAAAACCAGAATCCCTCTGTCTGTTTGTGTGAGCCCTTTTTAGCTTTTTAAATGAAAAGGAAAATAACATTAAAAAAGATAGTGCAAGAGTCGTAAAACACCACCCCACCACCTGTAATCAGTACTATCTCAATCTTTTTATATACTATCTTTACTTATATATATATGTATATATTAATATATTAATGTCTATATAATGTACCTTCTGTTTTTAATATTCACTCTTTCTTGTTTTCTTTTTCTTTTGTTAATTGGTTTCTTAGTCTGTTAGGCTTTTGGTTGTTGAAATTCCAATTATGGACGCCAACTTGTTTGAGCCGAGCCTAATTAATACTTGTCCATGCATGTTTACTAAATATATGTGCAAAAGTTAATAGATTTAATTAAAACTGTAACAAGGAAGAAATTTGAATTAGATACGGAATAGTTTTTGAGACAATTGGTTATGGTTTGGGCGCACTCAAAGTAACAAAATAAGTATTTTTTATTAACGCATTAAAAAATGTCCAACTCTCGAATTAATCTCGATTATTTTATGTGAACCATATTAGTCCAAGAATTGGACTGCATATCACGATTTTCTAATGCATTTGATAAAAGAATGTAGTGACGTTTGTTTGACAGGAAAAAAAAAAAAAGGTAGTAGATTAGTTAAAAATTGGATCTAACTCCTACATATACATATTACATGAAACCCTCTCTGTTGAAGTGTGATGTAGCCAGCTGATAAAGAACTCTAATTGACAGTGATAGAATCAAGAAAGAAACAAATAACTGGTAGGTAACCGCAAAGCAAACTCAAATACTTTAGGACTTGTTTGAATCACATTTCTAGTAGCAAGTGGTACCACTTTTTCACTTTTCAAACTAAACTATTCTTAAAAACAGTAAACTCCAGCTTATAGTTCCTGAAAAAAAAAAAAAAAAAAAAAAAAAAAAAAAAAAAAAAATCCACATACTTGAATATTCCTCAGGTCTTTACTTACTAAAAAAACATTCCAACATATCTACAGTTCAAAACATTCCACGAGTTCTTGTCCTAATGCTATGTTTGGGAGCACTTGACGGTTTGGATTTGAAATTAGAAGGAATTTAGTTAAAACTTTGAACTAAATTTTCTTCCATCCCAAATCCACAGCATCAAATTGGTGCGCTCCCAAACACAACATAACAGTAAATTCTAGGAAAACACACAACTTGATCTCTGGTTTTCAATGTGTACTCGTGTACTACCACTTCGACCAAACATCTCAACATAGCAATTGACACAACTAATCTACAACAATTAAAAAACCTACCCAAACAACCCAAAATGTTCAGTGTGTCACACTAATAAACAAATCTGCAGGAAAACTAAAATTCACATTTACTTACCCGAAAACAAAAAACTAAAAATTCACACCACCAACATTATGCTAAAAAATGAAGACAGAGAGAAAGAAAAGAATACCATACAAAGTGATCAATGAGAGTGAGTCGCCGAGTTCATAATTGAAGACAGAGTTGAGGAGGAGATGAGGTAAGGCTTGGGAGAAGAGAGAGTCAAATTAAAACCCAATGATCTTCCCCAGTACCTCTTCCAAAGGTATACATACTACTATATAATTATATATTCACAAACCAGACTAGTCCAGCCAACAAAGCAAGCTTAGCACCTATGTTCAAGCTCCTCGATTAGGGCATCAAATGTGATTTCTAGACGACAAAGGCACGATTGTTAAATATCGATTTACTACCCCAAAATAACCAGGCAACCATAAGTAATGAAAGATGATCACCGAATGCGGCCTTGTAACAAGACTTACAGCATGGTCGCTAGGCTACTAGCACTATCGACTACCAAAAATGTCTATGATTTTTCCACTGTAATCATTAGTAATATTTAAGATTTTCAGTTTTTATTTATAGAACTAGCGTAATTAAGCATACCTTCTCATATTTAAGTTGGTTTCATAATATTCCCCATCCGGAGGAAAGATGCGTTCAAATTAACTGCTATATAAAACACATCAGACTACCATTTCTACGGTACATCTATAAGCCACTTCAAATATATGAATTTAAGAAAAAGTTTGTTACAACAGTAGAATTTTTAATGACTTCGAGGTGCAAATGCTGTTTAAAAATCATAAAGGAATACAGAAAATTCAAGAATTATAATTATTAACACATTACTCGCAAAAATAAAAAAAAATAATAATAAAAAAGAGGAGGAAAAAAATGCACATTCAAAAAAAATTAAAAATATTTCCACATCCCAAATCCTCCCTTTGTACGAGTGCCCACATATGTGAGAGTGAGGACTGATGAATAAAAAGATGAATTAATTAAAGGGATCACACAGGTTTAACACCATGGTTCCCGCGGGTAGGCTGTGTGAATCAGAAAAAATCAAAATATATTTAACCAAAGCATGTTTCCACTATCAAACAATTCAGATGAGGAATTAATAATGCCCCCATGGTCAAACCCCCCCCCCCCCCCCCCCCCCCATCCTATCTCCAAATATGAGAAGAGTATTTGATATAACATGTTTAAAAAATGAGCTTCTAATATGAGAAATCAGAATGAAGAAAGTTCAAAGGAACTCAAAGGGTTGGTCAATCACTCAGCTTGAAGATATCCTTTCTCCTCCAAGTAAGTTACTACTTGCCCCGTCATTTCATGCGGTGTAGGGCAAACCCCATCCTTCTGTCGTATTTCAATCTACAAAATGGGAAAGGATTCTTAGTTGTAAACATAAAGAAACATGACAGTATTGGAGAGACAGTGATGAATTTCGTGATGCCTTTGCATCATTAGATGTACACACCTCACAGTTTAAAGGTGCTTCGTAAGGATCATCTATCCCAGTAAAACCTGCAATGTCATTAGATTATTTGAAACTCAGATTACGGTTTAAGTATTACATCCCAATCACCAAGAAAGGGAAAACTTTAATACACCAAATGTGAAATAAACCCAATCAATCAGGAGAAACTGTTCCCAACTTTGTAAAAAGGAATCAACAAGAGCATCTATAACAAGAAGCAACCCTTTTCCAAGTAAAAGAACCTACTACATGTACCAGCAGATGCCATGTAGTACTTGTGTAATTAATTCTGTAGTGAAAAATCACATCAGCCAATGGCAGTAGGTGGTACTTTAAGAACAAATACGCATTATTACTAATGAGACTTGAAACTTGAGGTCTTGAAAAAGGTAATAAAAAGGAAAGGGATAAGGAACAAAAAAAAATTAATGCTACATGTTCTCAGTGTGACAAATTTTACCAGTTGTTAACTTTTTAATGTTTTTCAGCTGAAGGCTCCATAAATAGTTGAAGATAAAATCTGTCAATATGATGTACCTACGTAGTTTTTTCATTTGAACATTTTCTACTTTCATTGGTGTAAGTCTTCATGTATAACTTGTAAAATATTTTTGTGTAACATACAATCAACCCATGGTAGTAGCCCAAGGCTGCACAAGAGATATAATAACAGTCACACCTTTAATCTTTCCAGCACGTGCAAGCTTGTAAAGCCCTTTTGGGTCCCTTCCTTCACATACTTCTAGAGGCATGTTCATAAAAACCTGTGAAGATACTTATTAAGTCAGCTTCCCATCTTCAAGAAAAATTTCAACCTGGTAATGGAAAGAATTTATCAGATGGAGCCTTGCCTCAATAAATTCCGTATCTGTCAACATTGCACGGCAGGCATCACGGTCCTTTCTATAAGGAGATATCAGACTGGCAACACAGATTAAGCCAGCATCTGCGAAGAGCTTTGCAACTTCCCCTAAATTAAATGAGAAATAAACTTAGGAGTCAGAAATGACAAGTAAAATTATTCAGACAAAGACCACAAAATAAATATCTAATGTTTTACAAAAGTTAAAGATAAATGCATGCTACCCTTCATTATGGTGGTCGACATTCTACCCTAGTTGTTTTCATTGCTCTCATTATGTATGAACAATGACATGCACCTCGAACAAGCACAAGTTTAGAATTTGATACATGTGTCCAATTTTATTATTGACATGCTTCTGCCTTGCTTAAGAAAGTTGTAGAGTACCCCAACCCAAAAAAGAACACCTTTTATTCAGTTTGCCCCAAATTGGGCAGCTCCCAGATCTTTGGAAACCTCTAGGATAAATTCAACATACTACCCAAACACCGGTAAAAGGTGTATAAGCTAATGAGACATTCAGAATAGTAGCATTTGAATCTGTATCTGCTAATGACTGAAACAGATCCTACTAACTTCTGACTTTTCCAACACACATTGATATGTAGCAATAGACTGTTCAACCAATGAAAGTGACTACATAAGCATATCCCATATTTAATTGAGTGCATGTCATTTCAATAATGTGTTGGAGATGAAGCAACCAATGGATGGTTGAACTATATGAAAACGCAGCTTTCAGACAAACCTAACTTAGGTTCAGGAGTATTGAAGTTTTGGAGGAAAATCTTCAATAAGGAGTATGGTTCTTTCAGAATAAACATACTTACCAACCCTGCGTATATTTTCAGTTCGATCTTCAGGTGCAAAACCAAGATTCTTATTTAATCCATGCCTAAGGTTGTCTCCGTCAAGAATGTAGGAAAGTTTTCCCCTGGAGTGCAATTCTCTGCCAAGGGAGCATGCAAGTGTGCTTTTCCCTGTATAATATGGACAAAAAGTTATACAAGAGATGGCATAAACACAAATTATACAGCACGTTGGTAGTTACTAAAACTGTTTAACACTTTAAATAGTTCACTACAATTCCTCACCCACAATTGGACATCAGCAATATAGATGTATTGGTAATCGCTAGTACAAACAACTTGCAATTTTTCTCATATTCCATTGTTGCAAACTGATTTACAGAATTGAAGGTTCCAGATAGCCTGCTGGAAGTATCTATGTGATGCCACCAAAGAGTTCAGATTGGAAATTCACCTTCTTCAATTGGGAGAGGAAAAGGTGATTTAAATATGTATTCTATACATATACATATATATTTGTGTGTGTGTGTTTGGGGGGGGAATAAATCAAGCTACACATATGGAGGTAATGAAAATGAAACAAGGAAAAAGCATAAAAAATATTCAGTCACCAGACATGATAAATCATCAAAATTGACTTCAAACATTATAAACTTGTTTACTGACATCAGAGAGTGCATTGCATTTATTAAAATCCTTTAGTTACTTCATGATCCAATCTGTTTCTCCTAAAGCTATCTCGTCAAGCACACCAGTGACTAAGAAGAGGAGACACTGATAACTCACTGAATTCATGATATCCACAATCCATAGAGTCAAGAATAATAAATTTGGTCCAAATCCAAACACTCCATTACGAAAAAACAGGGGAAGGAAAAAGGGATTCATCTGTTACTGTCTATGGCCCACACCATACACTCCTATAATAGATTCACGGTATTAAGGTAGTGGGCTTTGACTTTGAGCTGTAACTTGTTTGGTGCCTATTCTGTTCCACGTGAGCTAATCATTTCATCAGTTGATTTGTTTATCAACTAAATTTTTTCATAATCACACAATCAGAAGCTTGGCCCTTCGACTTCCATATATAAAGGTAAACATCCTATATTGAAAAAAAAAAAAAACACTTGGAAATGAGGGTATCAGAAAATTAAGTTGGTACATGCTTGGAGATCATCTACAAAGCTATTTTTCTTTTCTAAAAGATAGACGGAAAGGTTTAGAAAGAAGAAAATTTACCTCAATTTTTATACATGAACTTAAAGAAAGTATACTCTCAAGGTCACTGTAACGAGAAAGGGAGAGCTTTAAAGAGGAATCTCAAGTTGCATCAGTTGACCTAATTAGGGACATGAATGACACAAAGTAACTAGCTGAGAACAACTGATAGAGTAATCACCGCATTTCCAAACAGATTAGGCTTACACTGATTATCAAAATCAATTCCTTATCTTTTTGCACAAACTTATAAATGAACTTACCAGGGATTTTAAGGAGACATTCTACGGTTAATGTTAAAAAATAATGAAATAACAAAGAGAGGATTAAGAGTTAGACCCATGATGACATGCTTGGGAACTTTAGGTTTAAGGATATGCAGGAGTGAAAGAATAATATAGAATATATATGAATTGTAGTCTTGGTACAGCCATAAATTCAAGCTAGGTGGGACCATCAATGTCTAGCTAAGGTGATATTTTCTTCTCCTTGATTAAGAAATTATAATGATATAAATGAAGTGAGAGTTTGCTGAACTATTGTGTGATCTCAAAAGACCAGTCAAATTAACAAATTTCCAACTCAGCCATAAAAGCAGTTGTGATCTATCGTTTCGCAATTAACAAACATGCCTACAAAATGAAAAATCTAAAACAATGATACCTAGAAGGATGAATGGCAATATAAGATTTCATACATGAGAAATAAATAAAATTCGTAAGAAACTAGACTTGGAACAGATTGATAAAAAGATGAGGAGAAGTTGTAAGAGATCAATTGACAATGTTCACAAAGAGCAATCACAATTGTACAAAGGATAAGAGGAAGTGAAACCGAGTGTTAGTTAAGATAGTGAGGAAAAACATGATTTTACTATTTCTTAACAAAGGAATGGTTCCAGATAAAGTGGAATGGCAAAAGAAGACATTGTGCTAGCTGTTGGTGTGAGCTTCGGATATGAAGACGTACATATATAGTCAAGATGTCAGAATCATTAAAAATAAGACAAACTGCAGCAAAAAGAGAATTAATATATGCAAGAAATGGACTCTATTGACAAATGGCAAAAAAAATAAATAAATACAATAAAATAAAATAAAAGGAACTGATCAAGTTAATCTGAATATAAACCTGATCCACTCAGCCCCGTGATCCATACTACACATCCCTGTTGGTTAAGCAGCTTTTGCCTTTCAAGCTTCCCAACTGGAAATTCATTCCAGAAAATATTTGTTGAATTTCCCACAGTAGACATCAGAAATAATTCTCCTCTTCCCTGTTCACATAAAACTTACAAAATCAATGATAGCTATTAAATCAGAAGTAATGCTCTTAAATGTCTTTTCCATACACATGCACAAAAGATAGAGAAGAAGAAGAGAGGGGGGAAAAAATAACAGAAAAATAAACTTTAAAAGATATGAAGCAGTCCTCCAAATAGCAGTTTTATCAAATTAGGCAGGACCCCTACTAATTTGATATTTAAAACCATAACTATCAGGGCAATCTCATATGGTACAAACAGGACATTGACCTACCAAAATTTTCTTTCACCACCCAAAAAGATATAAAAGGAAAAGGAATGGGATTATATTCCAAAATTCAGTATTTAAAGTGAACCAAGAAATACAATAAGCAGATCTTTCTACCATGTCATTATTGACAAAACTAAAGGTGGACACTCTCACAACCAATAGAAAGTTCATCACATCATATTATGGAACCGACTATATATTTCTATCAGAATCTAAAGAATCTAGGTTTGGTACAAAGCGAGACCCACCACAATTCCCTTACTCATAGAGAATAGCAACACTAAAGCAAGTCTGGAGTCAATGAAAAGGTCTGGGGAAAAAAAAAAGAAAGAAAGAAAAGAAATAAACACATACACACACAGAGATCTTTCTTACTTAAAGATCTTGCAGCAAGATCACCTGATGTTATATCATCACCTAAGGTAATACACTCTCCTAATCAACCAACCAATGTGAATAGTTGCATCTTACTTGACCACAACACTTCAACTCGCTTTCCAAACAGGAAAGATTCTGAGCTTGGGTGTTGTAGAAAAAATCCAGCATATTTGTTATATCAAATTGTCCAATCTTTAACAAATAAATATATATGGCATAAGTAGGTAAATTGTTACTCCTTATCCCCATTCACATCAGCTGCATTCCAATAATGAGCCTTTTTCATATCATATCTTTTAAATTTCCCAGAAAAGTTATATCTTCTCAAATTACAACTTCCTGTTTTGCTTACAAAGTTACTTTTTGGAATCTCTAACATACCATTTGTGTCCTAGACAAATGCTGTATGAGTTAACCATCCGTCTTTGTTTATGAAAAGCAATTTCTTGAATTGTAAGAATTCAGAAACTACTCAACGCTAGTGGATATCAATATAAATGAAAAAGCTCTGCCAGTATATTTCACTCACTGTATGAGAATGGGTACTATGATTGGTGTTATTGGAAGAAGCCTAAGAAGCACGGACACGGATACGGGACACGGATACGACACGACACGGACACAGCGACACGGCAAATCCAAAAAAATTAGGACAGGGACACGGCAAATAGTATATATATATATATATATATATCAGCATTAATAATTTAAAAAAAAAACACTGATATGTTTAGGTTGGAATATATATATATATATCACTGATATGTTAGTATATATATATATCAGCATCTTTAGGACACGGACACGGCGAATTGTGGCATCTTTAGGTTAGTATATATATATATCACCATCTTTAGGGTAGTAAAAACAAAAAATAGAACATATCAGCATTAAAAATTAAAAAAAAAAAAAAAAAAAATTAACATATCAGCATTAAAAATTTAAAAAAAAAATCCAGAAAAGTGTGTCCGAGCCGTGTCCGAGCTGTCTGAGCCGTGTCCGAGCTGTCTGAGCCATGTCTGTGCCGTGTCCAAGCCGTGTCTGAGCCGTGTCCAAGCCGTGTCCGAAAATAAAAAAAAATAAAAAAATTCCAGACACGTTTTTTGGCGTGTCCGACACGTGTCGGGGCGTGTCCGACGCGTGTCCGTGTCCGACACGTGTCGGACACGGATTCTTCGTCCATTTTGGAGTGTCCGTGCTTCTTAGGAAGAAGCATAGTGGTTTTTACAGCAAAACATGTCTACTGGCTAACTTGAAACAGTTCATAGTAAAGCACAAACTACTTTTTAACTTTTTTTTATTTATAATGCTTTTGTAGTCTCAACACAACAAAAATTCTAAATCCAAATCTTTTGGCGTCGATCATGTAAATGTTTAATTGCTAATAAGCTCTATCTAGAACCTATCTAACAAAATCTTATGACATCATTTATAGCTACCTCCAGTTTCTAAATATTTAGCCATTTCCATTTCAAATCTTCATATTAGCTACACTTAATTTTTAAATGCCTTTGTAGAATTTTGTAAAATATTTAAAGTAAATTTAAATTTTTTCTAAAGATTTGATTGTGAGAATTAACTTCCTAGTAAAAATAAATAAAAAAAAGATCTCCATTCTGTTTACTTATTATTTAACTTTTCATTTTGGTAAGCACCACAATCCACACACACATCCTACCCGGAGTGAATCCTTGTACTTCCCACTTTTGAGGTGATAGAAGATACCACTCCACCTAGACAACTGGTACCCACCATTATAGAATATTTTCCTTTTTTAAAAAAAAAAAAAAAAAATTCTATCCATTCCGAAAAAGATCATTTTGCAGTAAAAAGCTCATGTTTTAGTAGGTTCTCTCTAATCATAAACCGATTTTGAGTCCATGAGATGGAAGCTATGACTTATTCATGCCACACTTTGAAAATTTTTACTTAAAGTTACAAGTGGAATTTGTTTTTATTACCTCTAAACAACAGGAATAAGAAGCACATCCCTATTTTCTTTCTATTCTTTTCCGAAAAAGGAAAAGAAAAGAAAATGTTCATATAATAGACGACATGGTGTTATAATTCATCTTCACAATGAGTCAAAATCACACAGTGATCATGTTGGTTAGATCCAATACAAAAGAAAATTTCCATCATTAAAAAAAATCTTGCCAAATTCACTGGCTGAGGCCAACATTCTTCTCTTAAAGATCAACATACTTGCAACAACTCTAACAAGCATATATGATTCTTACATAAAACCGAACCAAAATAAATACCCAACTTGTCGAACAATAAATGTATGTCCCGTGGTGACAATGCAGTAATTAAATACAAATTCAAGTACATATATAACAATGTTCAGAAAAACCCAAATCAGACATCCCAAATTAGACTTCCAATGGAGTTGCAAACAAACCAATGACATATAGAATCATAAAATGATCAATAAAAGGAAACTTTTAAACATTGCAATCAAACCAAACCAAACTAAACTGAAATGGGGGAGATCAAATACCTGGGGGAAGCCTTGGAATATTCCTGTCTAGAGAGAGAAAGTAGATAGAGAGAGGAGAGGGAGGGGTTTAAGAGACAGTGAGGGTGTTAAACGAAAATTTTGGGCTTTCCATTTCGGGTTTTGAATCTGGACGCATTTTATTCATTTCGCACTGCACAGTTCACATGGACGTCTTCCATTTCTTGGGTTTACTTTTCGCGTCTTCGCAATGATGTGGCGCACAAGGTTTGATTCCTAACGCAGCGTATAAATGTATGTGTGCGCGTCTGAGCGCAACCAAATGCCGTGAGAAAAGGGGAAAATAAAATGAGTTGTTTTGGTTGGCCGGATGTTTAGGGAGTGATTAATTTATTATTACTCTCAAAATAATTTTTGTTTTTATTGGCAAAAAAACAGTTTTTTTTTTTTTTTTTTAGAGAAATGAAAATACTCAAAATAGTATAAAAAAAATTTTGGTTAGATTTTTTGAATTTTTTTTTATAAACCTCAATTATAAAAATATATGTTTTGAGAATCGTGTTTGTTATAGTTATCTATAAATAGCTTTATATTTTTTGAATTTTTGAGAATTATTTTATGAGTGAAAAACTAAGTAAGTTCTTTAATAACGGCTATTTTAGGTATTTAATAATTTCTGGCATAGAGAGGACTTGAAAGAGTGAATTATGATATACTTGGGGGGCTGTTTCCTAATTCCTACTTCTACTAAGCAAAATTGTGATTTTAATTTTTTAGAGTTGAAACAGAAAGTTAAAAATTCATTTTTAGATATTTAAAAGGGAAAAAAAAAAACTGTGGATTGTGCTCAAATACTTGAGGTATGTTTAATTATTTATTAAGTCTCAAAATAAAAATCACTTTTAAAAAGTACATGAAGAAAGTTCCTCTTCGTAAGAGTTATGAACTTAAAAACAATATATATTTAATTACTAAATTGAAAGATATAGTAGTAATAAATAAGTCATATTACTTTTCCCATGTCTCTTCCCGTGAATACGCTCTCTTAACGGCAGTAATACCGTATTGAATTTGTGTGATCCATTAGTTTGTACACTTCATTAGGTGAAAGAATTTATGTTCCGACGTGGGAAAGAAAAAAATTTGGATGGAAAAGTGAGAAAAAATGGATGGTTGAGCTCATTCTTAAATAAGAGATCGTACTTTTTTTCTTTTATTTTTTTGGACAAGACAAAGTGATAAATAAGGATAATAAATTTTTTTAAGAATAAATTCAATCACCCTCTCTCATTTTCTTATTTATCACTTTCTTAATTTTATAATTATGAATTATTTGTGCGATTGAACCACATTAGCAATATGGATGACCTGCTTACCGACAAATCTTGTTATTTCGTTTTCTGGTTCAGCTGAATAAAAATGGAAGAGAATAAGTTCACAAGGTATTATGTTCATTATGAAATAAGGAAAAATAAAGTTTTAAATTATTTTTATTCCTGTAATATCTATAATATTGTAATTCATTACAGTAATTTAAAATAGTATTTAATTTAAAACTTTTATAATAGTCCACTTTTCTTCCCACTCTCTTCGGCTTATTTTTTAACTGGTGAAAATTTGTTTAAAATGAATGATGACGCATCACTTTTACTATCATTTCTTTCTTTTTTTATATTATTTTTACCGAACAAAGAAAGTTTATTCCTTTCTTATTTTCTTTTCATATCTCTATTTGAAAAACGCATCAGTGATAAGCCGGTGATTTTTCACAAAATAATTGACATGTATAATAGCCTCTTAATTAAACATGAGATTTCTAGTCTACAATCTTTTGATACTTGGCACGTGTTGCAATTTGGGATGGCAATGGGGCGGGGCGGGGATCTCATTCCCCATTCCCATCCCCGCTGAATTTTTCAATCCCCATCCCCACCCCATCCCCGCTTAAAATTTCACCACCATCCCCATACCCGCCTCCACCCCCGACCCCTTATCCCCGTCCCCGGCCCCGATTAATATATATTATTTTTTTTAAAAAAAATGTAACGACCCAACTAGATACCAAAATAATAATAAAAATACAAAATTTCGGCATGACCTCTGCAGAAAAAATCTCTCTACGACCTGTTAAAATACAAAAAAAAATGATGCAATGGCCTCATTGGGCCTTAAAGATAACATATCGTATCCTAACGCACAATACAGATATTATATCACATTTCTAAAATGACTACATACATACAAAAAATTTCCGTTCCTCCATCTCATCCAAACAAGGAACACAATTAAGTTACATTAAGTTACAGTCTGTAAAACATAGCTAGAATTTAAAAGTTCATAGCTTACAACATTGTACCAATTAAACTAAAGTTTTTCAAAATACTTAAGATTACATTTACAAAATATTAGAGTTCTAATACAAAAGATAATAAAATAAAATAGGTCTCCAAGCTTGTCTAAAATTGTGATGGATCGTCGTCCGCCACCTCTTTTCCGTGTTCTGAAAAATATTAAAAATAATGGGGTGAGTATAAACTCAGTAGGAAGTGTCTAAGACACTCTTCTTATATCCCCGTAAATCCATACAATGAATAGATAAAAATGAACGGGATCATGCCACAGGGAAACGCACATTCTCAACACAATAACAAGTATGTAACAAATATCAACCAATCACAAATTTACCACAATGTCATGAAGTGCAATGTTATACAAACGTCACTCCCCATTTTACGAAACATTTCCATTTCAACTTCCAAACCGTTAGTGTAATCTGACCCAAAGCACTTCCAAGGCGTCACGAATGGAGGGTTGACTAACTATCCACGACCATAAGGCACCTCCAAGGCGTCGCATCCGGCTTAATTAGCTCAACCATACTCCCTTCTAGACTACACTAACAACACGGACCGCTAGGTGCCTCCTAGGCTTCCGATTTTCTCAAATTCCTTTGAAAAAAAAATTTTATAGCAATTGATATCATGAAACAAACCAACACTAAGCATGCTTCTTTACAAGTTAAAAATCATCACTCTAATAAGCCCAATTAACACATAACACGCATTTATCACCATCAATGTAAATAACCCTAACAAACATAATCATAAAAAATTAAAATTAAGCATGCTTAAAGTCAAATTAGAGGGGAAAATTCACAAGAAATCCAAGAATTAGTGGATTAGAGCACCCCTACCTCAAATAAGAGAAAAGTCCCAAAATGGGTCTCAAATTCGAAATCCCTACAGAGCATTAAAGCTAAAATTGATGGTACCCATGCGTAGATCTTGCTGTGCTCTCCGACTTTACTTCATAAAATTCTACCAAATTCTAACTGGTGAAGGTGAGATCAAAGCTTGAAATTGCAAAAAAAAAAAAAAAAAAAAAAAAAAAAAGAAGAAGAAATGCTAAGAGAGACTGGACGCAGAGAGAGAGAGGAATAAATGGGTCTGTATAGTGACTCTTAAGTCATTTACATTGACTTAAAACTCATGCGGGCCCCACAGGTAAATAAATAAATATTTATTTAACTTTAATATTTATATATATATATGTGTGTGTGTGTGTGTGTGTGTGTGTGTGTGTGTTACATTCTCCCCAACTTTAAAAGATTTCGTTCCCGAAATCAAGCCATACCTGAGGAAGAAAACAATTCTGGATACTTTGTGTGATACCCCTCAATTCTAGAATCACGAGTGATCAAGTCCGGGCACAGATCCGAGAGATATCAGACAATCAATATGTAAACAAGCAAGAATAAAAAAAAAAAAAACTGAATTAAAAATAAAATAATAATGCGCTGAAAGAAATCTAAAATAAAAAAATCGTCAAACTTTAAATAATAAATTAATATCTTTTAAATCCTCAAAATCCGTACAACTCAGGAATCCAACTAGTGGACCCCTGTAATACCCCTAATTTTCAAAAGGATAGTCTTGGTATTTTTGTTTAATTGTTTTCTGTTCATTAATGGTTTGTGGTTCATTAATTGTTTTGAATTATGTTTTAATTGACTTTTTAATTATTTGATTTACTTGACTTATTTGTGTTATTTGAATTAATTAGTTGTATTTGATTTACTTGACTTATTTGTGTTATTTGAATTAATTAGTTGGTTTATTTGTTTTCTTTGGTTTAATTAATTATTTGAATTATTTACATTAATTGTGATAATTGTGATTATTTAAGTTAATTGTTTAGTTATGTGTTTAATTGTAATAGTGTTATATTTAATTCTTTATTGTAAATTTAAATTGGTAATTGTCTTGATTTAATAATTAGGGTTAAATTGGTAATTGTCTTGATTTAATAAGTAGGGTTTTACTTTTAATCAGTTTGTAAGCCGTCGTAGGTGTCTCAGTATGTTGGATGGGCCGGTTAGGATTTCGGTTGGGGCTTGAATTAATTTAGGGTTTAGTAAAATCCTATAAATATATGTTAGATGTTTGGTTAGGGTTTGAGAAACATAACAAAACCAAGTATACGACTGTGGAGACAAAGGAAGAACAGAGAGTGTTCACGTTGGTTTTCGTCGGAACTTTAGAGACGGCGTAGAGATTTTTGGATAAAGATCTCAAAGTCAAGTTCTAACCTTACTCTCTCCCTTATACTCGTGTTCTTTGCATACTCAATAGTTCCAGGATGAATTACATGTTTAAAAATAAAAAACGTTATCTGTTTCATGTTTAGAGTTTAACTGAAACTGAATTTGTTTTAAAATCGTTAAACTGGTTAACTTTGAACTTTCTTGTTTAATTCTTGGTTTAATCCATATTAGTAGCATAATAAGGACTGAATTAAGGGTTGGAATCTTCTGGGATTAAGTTAAACTCTCTGAAAACCTATACTGTGAAGTGTCGGAGGCGTAAACGACGACTGGAGAGGAGAACACGAAGAAGAGGAGGGAGAGAGCCAGCTCCTATTGGGTTGGAGCCGGCTCTCCTTGGATTGGAGGCGGCTCCAATGGTCTAGGAGCCGGCTCCAAGGCCATTGGAGGCGGCTCCAATATTCTGGAGCCGGCTCCAGGTTGTTTGTTCGTGGGTTTTTGGTTCTGTTGTTTGTTTTTCCACTTTTCAGTGATTAGGCTTCCTAGTGATTGTTTTAATATGTTTTAGTAGAGAATGAATACTGTAATGGATGGTTTAGGAGTGGTCTAGAGTAAACATAAATATTCAAAGATCAGATTAACATAGAATTGGACACAAAGCATTAATCATTAGGATTACATGGAGTTAATTACGAATGTCTTGTAGACTTGTGTGGATTTGGAGTTTCTAACTTCTAGATTAT